CTTTTTTCAAAAGTTCTCTTTTGAAAAAAAGGCATTCTTGAATGTAAATGGCTTTTTGGAAAGAGAGCATCCAGACTGCCTGGGTGCTCTCTTTTGAAAAAGTAGCTCGCTTTTTTGAAGGAAGTGGTTGCAATCTAGACACTCTCTTTCGAGTATATAACACGCCCAGTGTTATATAATGTGATCTGTTTCCCAAATAGGAACTATACATTTTAGAGTGCTATTTATCATTCATAAAAAATAAATATTTTGTTCTCTTTTGCCCTCTCCCCCCACACACATCAAAACACAAGGGGTTTTCAGAGCCTAGTTTATCCTTTTCAGGTGAAGGAACTGAATCCCCCTACACCTAGGTTGAATTTGGCACAATATCTGAAAGTAATGGACTTAAAAGTTGCCATTCTTCTAAAGGAATTTCACAAGCAAACTACAGAAAAAGAGTGCAGAATTGACCTTCATATCTGACACCATCTCTCTTGGCCTGAACAAAGACATGAAACTGGTTAAATTATAAAATCAGCTTTCCTTACATTCAGCACCCTATTGACGTCAAAAGCTAAGTATGGGACATTTCCAGCCCACTCAATTAGCCTCATTAGTACCAGGACTACAATTGATAGGTATTTTTTTCTCCCTCTCCTTTCTTACTCTGAAGGTTTTCCACTCAAGATCATCTCATCTGAAGAAGTGGGTAGTGTCTGCCCTGATGGATTCAAAAGTAGATGAAGCAACCCTCTGGTGTGCTACAGCTGTCAGTTACAATATTTTGAAAATATCTGAGTTTCTAATAGATGCTGTCTTACATTGGAAGAACAATTTCCATGTGTGTATCACCATTCCCTTTTGTATTGTTGCTTTCATACACAGGTCTACTAATTTTTTCTTGAAGCATATAATCTAAGTGTAAATACTTAAGAAGGTTTTGTACCTTGAAATGCAAGTGTTTCTTGCTGAGTTAGCTCATGAGTTTTGCAACTTATGGCTAAAACCTTCACTAATTTATATCAGTATGTAAGTTTTTAAAAGCAAATAGAGATTTGTAGACTAGAATAATATAAGTAGATGAATACAAGGTTTATAAATACTATATTAAATTCTTTATTTTACAAAAAAACTTCATCCGTTATACATTTGCTGAACTTCACTATTAAAAGGATTTAGCGACCCCATGACAAATCTGTCAGTAACTATATATCAATTCAAAGATATAATAGCCCAATTTCATATAATTCTATTTATGCCTTTTCATACATGGTGAATAACTGGCAGGCTGCTACTACTGTGTCTGCAGTTTAATCTTGTGACTTTTAATTTAATTGTAATAATACTGGATTCTTGAAATGTCTTGCTCCAACTAAGAATTTTCAGAACCACTCCCTCAAGGAGGTTTGGAAAAACTATTCACAATCAGAGGACAATATTTTTAAATGTTGTAACATCAACAATAAACATAGTATTGTTACTATGTTTGCTTGGTATTGCTACCCTCACTACTCCTGTGCTTTTTTCTGTTTATGACAGGACTGTTGATACACTATGGAAGTGATTATGTGAGAATAGTGACTTCAAGTGGGAATAAGTAGCAGGAACAAACACGAATCAAAAATATTTTAAAGTGAATCTGTGTATATTACAAACTCCTTATATCTTCTTTTATTTTTTTTACAGTTTTCCATAAATTATCTGCAAATATTTAATGAAAATGTTGACATCTTTCATTCAGAAGGTCACTTTGGCAAATGCCACGAAGAATGTTTTAAGAGTCTCAAGTCAGACGATGTCTACAAAGCTAACACAAAGACATGGCCATCAGCCTTCAGAGGGGACTGAAAAGAAAAAAATGTTATTTTCTTTTACTGCTTCTTGATGAAAACTATCTAAATGTCGGTCAGGCTGGTCAGAAAAGCAATTACACATTCTTTTGTCTCAGGCAGACTGCTTATTCACTGCTTTCCAAACATTTTAAGAATGTCATTCTATCATATAACTCTTGTATACACCCTATATATTTCTATCACACAAGAATATTAATGATCAGAGAGTTATTAGTTTTCCAATTATACATACCAGGCCAACCCCTTTGGGTATATATTCATGACAGTGATAGTGAGTACGTCAGGCCTGACAAGAGTTTCCGACACAGGCTAGAGAACCACCAAAGAGCCTAATGCCTCACACTGCTGCTTTGACCATATAACTCTTCTTTTTACATTCATTCATTGGCTCCCCTTTCTCTCTTGCATCAAGACCCTTTGCAGTCAATCTGCAAGCCACTTATCTTTCATTCATTACTGAGCTGTAGATACTGGTCTCCAAACTCATGATGTCAGCTTTTGTAGTGCCACATCCTTTGGAGATGCTGCCTCATTATTAAGGCACTGTGTTTTCAGTTCACTTATTTTGTTTCAGATTTCCTGGGAATTCACCTGTACTGTATTTATTACAAACATTAAAAGTGGGTGACAAATCAATGTAAAAAATTAACTCCACATTTTTCTGGGTAAATATCAGGGTTAATATTATAGAATGGGAAGACAGAGAAAAGTAAGAGTATTAAAAGTAAAAGCAGTTTATTTCATAAATTGTACATTAATAAAATGGATACCTATATAGCTGGATACTTGTGTATATATCTTTCACTGCCTTACCTTAATTAAGAGTCAAACTCATACTTACACTTAGTCTAATTTATTAACATAAAACATAACTAATATACAGGATTTTCTTAACAATCAGTATTTTCATGTACTTGAGTGGTCTAAAATTCAGATAAAAATTAGTAAAAATTGGTAGCTATTATAAACCATGGATTTGTTTTATTTGAGCTAAAAATCAGTAAAAACTGAAACATCTACTTATCTTCTGTCTTCACTAGGGACAGTTCCAGGGCACCAAGCACCAGAGGATGCTATGCTGCTAGCTGCCTACTCCACTCCACCTCCACCCTCCCTTCTCTGATTGATTGGCTGGCCATTTTTTTCTCCTGTAATGAGCCAGCTCTTCCTGTGTTTGCTTGCTTGGCAGCTGAAGGAGTAGGAGTGGTGATGAGAAAACAGACTCCGTCCTGACAAGCAAAAATTATCATTCCTGACCTTACCATTCTTCCTCAAAACTCTCCTTTGCCCAGAAAACTTGACAGTGGTTTGGTTGCTAGTGTGAAGAAATGCCTGTCACATTTACCATTATCCCCTCACTGTGTCCTTGTACTACTTGATTTATCTGTACCCATTTGTTGTCTCACTTGATAACTAGATACTTGAGACAGCAACCATCTTTTTGTTTTGTATTTGTACAGTGCCTAGCAGACTGAGATCCTAGTCCATGACTAAGACCTCTAGGTGCAATGGTCATAAAAATAAAAATAATAATCAAGTTCTACTTTCTCAGGTAAATTGACTATAGTTTAACCTACCCTTACATCGATACAGATGTTTTCAAATTAGGGCACTAAGCTAGGACTTGGAAGACTAGAGTTCAATTTCCTACTCTACCACAGCATTCCTGTGACACCTTAAGCTAGGCATTTAGCCTTTCTTTGTCTGTTTCTTATCTATAAAACCGGGGATAATACTTCCCTGCCTTACAGAGGTGGTGTTGTGAGGATAGCAGCATCAAGAGGATGAGGAGTACTTTGAGATCTACTGATGAATAAAAACTTATTACAATTTTAGCTTATTATCCTAGCAAAACAAGCAATCCCAAAAGTACCTGTACTCTGGACAATAGCAGAGCTTCAGGACAGCATTACAATAGTACAGCAGTGGGCCTCAACTTTTCCCATAGTAACCTCTGTCCTTAGGGAACAGGGAGGTCAGGGTCACAAATCATCCTACACATTTGGAAATTTCGTGGAGGCCAAAATCCCCAACTTGAGAAGCCATAATATAGAAACAAAAGATTACTTTGCAAAGTTGTTGATGCTTAGCATGCACACTCAAAACAATGTAAACCTGCAGGTGAAATCAATCTGAGACCTTAAGGCTCCAGGGTAGGCAAACTTTGATTCTTTCTTATATAAGGGAAAAGCCAGGGAGTGATTAACTATTGCATCTGAGAGTGTTTCTGTAATTTTAAAATATTTAAATTGTGCTATTAAAATATCAAATTAATTATTAAATGAAATATTTTGTAGATTTTTTTACAGTGCTTTATTCAACACAATGTTTTGTTTGGATGTAAAATATTCTCCTGCACTGTTCACAACACCATGGCATCATTTTCAGGTAGGCAACACTAAAGGCGCCAAAGGGGCTAGAACAACAAAGTAAAATAATTAGACATGATTTGAGGGCTATGGCTGCTGCCTGCAAATGAAAAGTAGGGAAAAGAAAACAGTTGTGGTTCAACACCTAAACCAGGGGAATATTAAAAGCTGACTTTAAAAAGAAAATACCAGTGATATGGGGAAACATCTATGATTTTGTCATAAGCTTTGCAAAATACCTACAGTAACACACCATCTCCCACCTCGACCCTTGCAACAAAACCAATGTCATCTGGGGACCTCCCCCACCTTCAAGAGTCCCCTTCCTTCCACACCAATCTCATACCAATGCTAAAGATATGTCACACACATAGGCCCTCCTGTCCTACTCCCTAACCACGCTCCCGGTATAACACCCCCGTCCCTCACAAATCTTTCCCCTCGTATCCTCTACCCCAACCCTCATACCTAAGCCACACAGACCCCTTCCTCTCATTCCCCCCAGTCCCTAATCCCTATACCACACAGTCCTGTCTCCTGCTGCTACACCACACAAATACCTTCCTCTCGTGACCCCGCTGTACCCAGATCTCACCATCTCTGCCTCACAGCCCTGGGTCTCCTGCCCAGCCCGTTATGCACACACCACAGACACCTTCTTCTCCTACCCCACTGTACCCACCCGCAAACCACACCGCTCCTGAGAACGCCCCCACCAGACCACACTGCACCCCCACTGTCTCGCCTCATCCCCTGCCCGGCTCCTTTCCGCTAGGGCCGCCCCCGCTTTCCCTCGGCTTTGGCAGCCGCGCCGGGGCCCTGGCGGAACGCCCTGCCCTGCCTCGCCTCTCCATAAGTGGGACGCCGTGCGCCTGCTCGCCGCTGGACTCGTCTCTTGCAGGGCCGTGACTCGCTGCCCGCCCACCCTGCCATGGCGAAGGAAGCGCCCGCACAGCCGCGCCCCCGGGCAGGTAGGAAGCTGCCTGGTTTCCTTGGGGGCTGCTCCCCGCGGTTTCGGCTGGGTTCGAGGGGACGGGAACACACAGACGCCTGCTTGTGTAATGTGCTCCAGTGGGGGGGCGGGGCCGCTGTGTCACCCTCCTACCTGCCTCCTTGTGTCAGGTGCTCCCCTTGCCTGCTGTAGGGGCGACCCCCCCGTCGTGCGGGGTCGGCATGCAGCCGGGCTGGGGCTCCAGCACCCCGTCTACCCGCCCCCTTCCCCGGGCTTGGTTCAGACTCTGCCTGGGCCTGCAATTCTCCCCGCCCATAGGCGCCAATCTGCAGTTTCTGGCCCCACGCTCAGTTCTGCGCGTCCGGTTCCTTTGGGGGCTGCTGCTGCTGCACGGGTGTTACCCAGCCAGCGTGAGCGCCTGACAAGGTGCCAGTTATCGCTGACACTCTGTCGAGATCCCCACTCGCTTCTGGGAAGACGGATACTTAGCGCCACGCTCGGGCTGCCTTCGCACTCTGTGTTCACGCGAGTTTGTTGGGCTGTTATTGTGCTGGTAACACCCGGACTCGGCTTCTATAGTTCTTTCGATTTGAGACTATCAAAATGCAAATCCGAATGAACTTGCTCGTGGGAGGACAGAAAGGAGTATTGTGTGGTTTTTACCAGCGAGTTCAGCGGGTATTTGTGGAAATTATGGGAATTTTACTGAGCCTGTTTTGAAAATCAGGCTGTGGTCTGATCAGCTAAAACTAGTAGCTCTTTTTAAAAGAATGGTCTCAAGATGGCATACCCACTCTCAAGTAGAGCTGGGAATAGATTCAATCCTGAATCCCTGACTAGTGTGTTAACAAGAGCTTTAGTCCCTTCTGAGTCTTGGTGTGCTGGTTTTCATTTTCCTTTATTTAGACAATAATTAAGCTTTTAAAAATAAAACAAAAGTAAAATAAAATAAAAATAAAAAAGTGAAAAACAGTGCAAACTGATGAAAGGAGTGAGTGGTGGAACAGAAAGGATGTCACATGTTAGACTTTACAAATTTGACAATTCTCAGAGAATTAGCCACGTTAGTCTGTAATTTTAAAAATAACAAGTAGTCCTGTGGCATCTTAGAAACTAGCAAAAATATATAGTATTATGAGCTATGGTGGGTAAAATCCACTTCATGTCATCTGATGTAGTGGGTTTTTCCCACCAAAGCTCATGATACTATATATTTTTCTTAGCCTTTAAGGGCTGGCCTACACTAGAGAGTTATTTCAAAATAAGTTATTTTGAAATAATAACTCCTGAAATATCACTATTCTCCTTCACAAACAGGACTTATTATTTTGAAATAACAAGCCCTTTATTTCAAAAGAACAGGCTTGGCAGTATGGACACTCGCCATGTTATTTCAAAATAATTTCAAAATAATACTAGTGTAGACAAGTCCTTGGGCAGTATTTCTCAAAGTGGGCTCCAGGCCCACTCTGAGAAACACTACTCTAAGGTGCCCAGGATTACTCATTATAGAAGTATGTGTACTCTCAATGCCAAATAATTGTAATGGGACTTGAGGGAACTCTATACCTACAAAATCAGGCCCTTAAACTTTAGATTCTTTTTATTAATAGCTTGGTGATAATTATTGATTGATTTTATAGGGGAGATTTTCAGAGCTACAAAGGGGAGTTAGGTGCTCAGAAGAATTTTGGTGGAAATAGGGTATGTAATTGTCCTTTTCGGTCTTTGAAAATCTCCTCCATTTATAACATGATTCAGATTGTTACTAAACATATTTCCAATAAAAACTGAAACTATTGTTACTATCAATTTTCCCTCCACACTGTAAAATATCAACCTATATTTTTTCCTCTTTATGTTGTATACATTTATTGTTGTAATACTTAATCCGATAAGATTGGTTGGGCCAGTGATGAGCATAAGGATGACTCTTGACACTAGTCTGGGAGACCTGGGGGGAATTGTACATAACCCTTAAATATGCAAATTCAGTGGAAAATGGATTTTGTGCCATTCATTTCTGCAATAATCTCATAAATAGAGCTGGTCTTGATGAACATAATATTACTTAATGGCATTCTGCAACATGCTCAAAGTACAGGCAGTCCCCGAGTTACGCTTATGAACGGGGCTTTCTCGCCCCGGAGCTCGCAGGCAGCGGGACCGCCCAGAGCGCAGTGGTCCCGCCACCTCGACCTCCGGGGCGAGAAAAGCTGCTCCGGGTGCCCCTGGTCTGCTGGAGACCGTCTCCAGCAGACCAGGGGCACCGGAGCAGCTTACGAACGGGGCTTTCTCGCCCCGGAGCTCGCAGGTAGCAATCGGCCACCTCGACCTCCGGGGCGAGAGAGCCCCGTTCGTAAGTGCGGATCCGACATAAGTCGGATCTGCGTAAGTCGGGGACTGCCTGTAATCACTTTCCTTTCCTGCTTGTACCATCCCAAAAAATATAGATCTGGAGCAAACTCTCTTGTTTTGGCCATTCAAAAGGAATGAAGAATAGGAATCGGGCTATAAGATGAAACAACTAGAATTAATGTACAAAAAAATCTATATTCAGCTTGCTCCTCTTCTTCTTCTTCTGAATGTCGTGTTCAGTGCTGTATTTCTTTGTCAAAGTTGGACGTCCAAACTCTCCAGCCAGTGAACAGCATCGGTGGTTAGATTGTGGATATCCTCCAGTGAGCCAATAAATTTTCATGTTGGGCATTCCACAGCATTGTGGTGCATAGTTTGTGGACTGCCACAATCACAAAGTGGAGATGGCAACAAATTCCACTTATGCAGTAGATAACTGCACCTGTCCTGACCGGTTCTAAGCTGGTTTAGAACACACCACAGTCTCCAGGGAAGATTGAAACCTTTTTGCTCAGTGGTGGGATCCAACACAAGCATGCTCTTATTTATGTTGACAGTTACAAAATTTACCAATATTTTTGTGCACAGGAAGAAGGTATTTGGTTTGACAAGTTATCTGAAATATCTTTACATGCTCCTTTAAAAAGTTGAATTTGTCTGACATTACTCAACACCTAAATTGTTATTGTTAGGTCATCTGTAGCTTAATTCATACTAATTGGTTTTGTGATTGGCAGGCATTTTAATAAATTATAATTAAGCTTGAAAGAACACTAGTGCATGATAAATGTGCAGTTGATGCATGTCTGCATTATAACTTGTATTAGGTATACCCCAGAATAAAAATGTATCTTGAGTAAACAATGTTCCTGCTGTTAGTCTTCTGTTTTGAAAATTGATGTGGAAGGACTCCACTTCTTTAAAAAAAAAAATTATAAACAATTACATCTAAGATCACTGGGAAGGAATGAATGCATGAGGGCAGCCAAATTTTATAACCAGCTGAGTTTCTATTCCAAAGGCTATAATTTTTATTTTATTTTAGATTGCAATAGCTTGATTTTACTTTGATCAGGGTGTAGTCTAAAAGTTTAAAGATAATCTTGGGTGGTTCTCTGAGGGCTCATTTTGGATTTCAAGTTCCATCTGCACTACAGAAGAAGCATAACAGAGTTCACACTCTGTTGAGAATTAATCTTTTTCTTGTTACCAGTTTTTCTGAGTATGTGTTGTTAGTTTTACAAAAAAAAATCAACCTTGTTATGAACAGTTCTGTAGCTGCTTAACTTATTCACACAGTGTAAATTATTGTTTTAACAGTCAAAGTTGGAGGCAAGAGAGTTTCGAAAAAGCAAGAAAATGGAGCTGTTGAGAAAAATCCCAAGAACCCTGGAAAAGAGAAGACAAGGTATTTCATCTGAAGTTCTACCTTGAAGTTTAAGGGTAAAATTAACAACAAATTGGATTAGGTTTTTGACAATAATAAAGGTCTGCAGTTTTGAACAGTTCAATGTACAATGAAAGAAAAATTTGAATGTAATCTAATAAGAAAAGAAATTGGATACCCATTTATGCTTCTTTATGTTCTCCTTTTTAAAAACCTTTGTTTTTAAATGATTAGAGGACTTGAGAAAAAATGGCTTAAAATGAGAGATCTAAAGAACTCTCAGTCTGTTTAGTTTAACAAAAAGAAGAGATTAAGTTGATTATGAGGCATAAGTGAATCCACAGGGAGAAAAATTCAGATACTAAATAGCTTTTTAATCTAGAGAAGAAAGGCATAACACGAACCAATTTCTGGAAGTTGAAGCGAGTCAAATTCAAATTAGAAATAAGGCACTATTGTTTTTAAACTGGGAGGGTGGTCACTGGTATGAACTATTAAGAAAAATGAGGATTCTTGTCTCTTGATTTCTTGAGATTAACTACCGGTAAATGCTTTTCTGGAAATTATATTTTATCCAAAAACACAAAGTAAGCTTTAGTCAGAAAAGTTATTAGACTCAATACAATCATAACTAGGATGGATTCAGTGTCTTGTGACAAAGCAAATGTCAGACAACGTGATCTAATGGTCCCTTTTGGCTTTAGAATATATAACTCTTTAAATCTGTTTCTCTTTTCGGTGTTTTTAATGTTAGAAATTCTGATCTTTTCTTTCTTTCCCTGAAATGCAATGAGTCCATTGGGGGACAAAGGGGTCTAAGGTGACTTTAAGCACCCGACTGACCCTGGGCTGTTCCAGGGTCTGTTCCCGCTGTACCTTAAGCCAGGTCTACACTACACCTGGAAGGTCGGCTTAAGATACATAACTCCTGCTACGTGGAATAGTTGGCACCGTCCTCACTGTGGGAGGCCAACAGGAACAAACATTCCCATCGGCTTTCCTTACTCCTCATGACTACTCAGTGGCATGCTTATGAGTTCACCAGAGGGTCTGGCTGGCAGGAGCAGCCACCTCACTGCCCACAGGCTGGTGCGGTGGCAGGGCCGGAGCAGCTTGAAGTGGGGCCAGAGCTGCTGGTTCTTGACCTACCCTACATCTCCATTTAACAGAATGACTTGTTAAAGGTCACATAGGAAATCTGTGGCTGACTTGGCAATTTAACCTAAGTTTTGGCCATACATCTGATCTCTTTTAAAATGCTATAATTTGCTGGAAATCATCTAAATTATAGATTTTTTTTTTCTTTTTTTGCTGCTCTCAAAGTTGAGAAACCAATTTCCACTAATCGTTTTGGCAGACCCACAAAAATTAGACTTGCTGGCTCTGAAGACAATGAACTAAAACACTATTCCTGGAACTAAACTGAGGCGACACATTGATTCTGGCACACAATACTAGTAAACAAAGAGCTAATTATAAAATCCATTAGAAACTGGAAAGAAAGAAAGAAATGATTGCTGAAGTATATTTTATGTAGGGGATAGTGAACTTTATTTTCAAGATGTAATCTTTCTATATATTAAAGAACTTTTCCTACAGGATGACAAGGTGACATCAGCACGTCACTCTGGGTCCGCAGAAACCCTCACTACATGACTACTCCATTAAATGGGCGGAGGGCGATGGCTCCATCCCCACACACCCTGGACCAGTGTCTGCCTATTTCTGAGCCCTGCCTCCAGCTTTCCTGGCCTACGTGCCTGCTGCACAATTTGGCTGTTTACGGCCTGGGCTCAGGTGTGCTCACCTGGGCCCGCCGGGAGTTGGGCAGGTCTTGCACCAGGCTGCTTCCCCAGCTCTCCAGAGCAGCCACTCTGTGCTCCAGGCTCTCTGGGCTCACCACGGAGTCCATTGGAGAGGCTGGGGATGGCAGCAGGAGTCACAGCACATGGCTGGAGCTGTTCTGCCTGGCCCATTGGCGCTCCTGGAGCGGGGAGGAAGCTCAGTGAATTTGTGGGAGGGGGCAGGGTGTGTGTAGGGAGGGAGGAAGCGGGATAGGGTGTATGTGGGGATGGACAGTGTGGTAAGGGGGGATAGTGGACATGAGGGGAATATAGGAATGGAGGCAGGGGGCCCCTTACACCTCCCACCCATGGTGTTTGGGGGGGGGGAGGAGGAGGAGGGAGTCATGTCCCTGAAATGGTGCAAACACTAATTCAAACTGAGAGGGACACTCCGGTTGATGCCCGTAGTCCTGCTTCCACGAGGAGTAAAGGAAGTCAGAGGGAGTGTTCTCACTTCGACTTTTTGCAGTGTGGACAGCGCCAAAAGTTGAGATCAGGTATTTTGACTTCAGCTGTGCAATTAACATAGCTGAAGTTGTGTATTTTAATTCAACTTTGTCCCGTAGTGAAGACATGTCTGGACAGTTTTTATCTTCTAGGTCACTGGTTCTAATGGGGCTTAGATTGGTGGTGGTATAAATCACTAGCATTTGACACCCATTAAGAGGCCTATCTGAAATGAGTTGATGTTGTCCGATACCTTTAATGAGAAATGCATTCATGAAATTTCCTTAAATCTCACCATTTAAAATCTATCGAGAGAACGACTACTTTAACTGTCTTTGGTAGGTCAAAGTTAAATGGTACATAACGCACGGTCCTAATTATGCTGCTTTCTACTGCCATCAGTTCTTTGACTTTGCAAGCAGTCACACCAGGGAAGGAATTATTCAGTATCATTGACTGTAGTAGGATCTGGCTCTTGGTTGATATGTCTGTTTGTTGAAATATTTTAAATTCACCATTGGGAAGTTCACTTGTTACTGCTGGATCTACAGAACAAACAAACCTAGCTGTAGTTGCATCTTCCTGTTCACGTGATAATTGTCTTTTTAACATCGCTACTTCAGTATGGGTAGCAACAGACAAATAATCAGTCCTAGTCTTCCTCCTAATTGGATGTCTCTACAAATGGGAACAGTGTAGCCTTAAGAGAAAATGCTTCAAATATATGCACTCACTCAGATAACAAACTTTAGTATCACAAAATCTATGTGAAATCTACAATTTTTTGTTTGTTGGAGAATTTCACATAAATATTGTTGCCATTTGACTTCATATGATTTCACTGCCTCCAAATCTTGGTTTAATCTGAATTTTGATAAAATGTCTAATTTTGCACTGGAAATATGCAGTGCAAAACAGTGTGGTGCATGGTTTTGATGTAAGCCATCAGAGCTTGACAAATTTTCAAATTACAGTGGACCTTTTTATTTTTTATTTTGTCAAATTAGTCATGTTTTCCTTAATAGACCCAGTTTTGAGACTGGGAGTGTGAGTAAAAATGTGAACTCTGAGGATCTCTCTACATGGCAATAAAATAAATCTATGGAACCGCGTTTCAATTGACTCAGGATGTGGGGCTAAAAATTGCAGTTTACACCTGCAGGCTCTACCAGGAGCCCAGGCTCTGAGCACTTGAGACAGGGTGGTTTCAAGGCCTGAAGTTCAGGCCAAGCCCCAGCATGCACGTTGCAGTTTTTAGCCCCGCAGTTTAAGGCCAGCAAGCCGGAGCCAGTTGACCTAGGCCAGCCATGGCTATGCCCTGTCTTTTATTGCAATGTCGACATTGTGACTTCCTGAAACATTGCTAGGTATCAGTGAAACTGCCCAGCAATGTACAAAGAAATTATTCCTCATCAGTGAAGCTTTCTGGGGGGTCAGGCATCATGGACATGTATTCCTGTTATCTAGTACACATTGAGAGGAAAAGGTAATTGTAGGAATATGATCTTAACCTCTTCCCTCCCCAGTACTATAGAGATAAATAATAGCTGAATCACAAAGGCGATGTTTATTCTTACTTTTATTCGCAAGGATCCTTTTTAAGCCTTTTGGGGAGATGGATTTAATCAGTATTTTTCTCATTTTTGCTTTGCAGCACAAGTGTTACTCTTACAAGAATGCAAAATGTGCGTGTCTTACTAGCTGATGCATTGGAGAAAGTGAGTATGTTTAGCAAAATAGGGCACTTGTTTCTGTTTAGTCTTCTAATTTGATATTGACAAGGCGCTAAAACATAAAACTGACTTATATGAACTGCTGTAATCTGATGGATGTGGGACTATGTCCTGGATTTAAGTCGGTATTTTGGGAGTGGAGGGAATTAAACTACAAATTAATTGCTGAGATGTTCTGTTTTTCTATGGTGCCTGTGATATTTTTAAAATGCAACTTACCAACATATAACTTTGAATTCTCTTCTGTACTTCACTGTAGGTATTGTTAAACACAAATATCTGCACATCTTTGGCATAGCAAAACACTTTAATGTGGCCCTTATAAAAACCTCAATTTCAGATTTATTAAATGCGAGGAAAAATAACTGAGGGTGAGTCGATGCAAGAGCTGGGAATAAAACCTAGATTTTCTGGATCCTAGTCCTGTGCCTTGAACTGAACCCAGATGAAAGAGCTACCTGGATAAACAAGGAGATCACTTACAGGAAACAGCTGAGGGAAGGTCACAACATTGTAAAGACAGGTTTCTGTTAGCTCTGACAAGTGGCAGACAAAGCCACAGCAACATAAACATAAGGAAGGCAAAACAATGACAGCAAAACTGCCATGGGTGATCCCCTTGGGCATCACATGCAGCATATATCAGAAGTGCCTTCAGCACTGTCCACTAGTCCATGCCACTGTCATGACTGAGGACTAATGTAAAACTGGAGATTCCAGTGCTGTTTCCTGACCTCTGCCTTTGCAGATACTCCCATGATACTACTGTTCCCATTCAGACTGCTATCAATGGGCTCTCTTCCCCATCAGTTTTGCTTACTACCCATAGCATTTCATGGCGTTCCATTGTAGGACCCCACATGCCGTTTATATGTTAACTTGCACTCCATTTATATAGGATTTTAAAGTTTCTACCTATATATTTCTCAATCACACTCTCACACAGTCATTGAAGTCCTAAGCCTGAGACCATTTTGTTCTTAGTTTTGTTTAGTATTTACTGAAGCCTCAATTAAATACATTTTTAGCATATAAATAATGTCTGTAACATTGTCATTAGTTCAAATCCCAAATGTGTGACTGAAGCTCTGCAGAGTTACACAAGTAATTATATTAGCTCAATTTTATTTTTTCCCTTTTTCTTTAGAACTAGCAGTATACATGGCTCTTCATTCTCCTCCCTCTGGCCTGTCTCCTAACTCTTCTAATTTAGCATTCCTTCCACTCTTTCTGACCTCCCAGATTGTTCAAATGTGTTTTTCCTCCCTCTCCTCCCCCCCTCCCTCCCCACACACACAGGGAACTCTCAGATATCACAATAGGTTACTATTGTAACTACTGGAACTTTGAAAGATTGAGAGTGACTTTAGCAACAGCTAGAATGCTGATGGTTCAGCTTGGCAACCCTTGTAGTAGCTTTAATGTCTCTGTGTGTGTCTCTCTCTCTCTTTTTGGGTCATTTATTTGCATGTTAACCTGGCTGACATTACTTTGGCTCTGGTATGTATCCAGTGCAGATGATGAAAACCGGGTGGGAGTCTTTCACTGCTAGGCAGTCATATGGAGCTGCCATGTCTCAGGTGTACACTGTTCATTTCAATGGTAGACACTTAAGATTGTTCTCCTAAAATATACAAGCTTTAAACAATCTTTCAAGATGCAATTCAGCAGAAGAATAGCAGAAAATGTGTTGTGATTTTTCTTCTAATCTTTCAGATCAGCCATAAATTTCCTGCAGCAGCTGCAGCACAAGTGGCTCATCAAAAACCACGACCAACCCTGGAGAAGATTATATGGCCCAGAAGAATATGCATTATCCAACAACCTCGGAAATGTTAAGATGTAAAGCAAAATAGCCATCTCTACTTGAAAATGCGCTTCTCTAACCGCAGTCGGCTCTTTAATGTTTGCAAAAGGACCAAAACAGAGGGAAATATTGGCTGGCTGAACTGTATTGTATTCTATTTCTGGCAATAAAACACTTCATAAGTATACTAACTTCTTCTTTTTCAAGAAACAAGCCCACCTGTTTTTTATAGAATAGTCTACCTTGAAATTTTTAGAGCAACCTATCACAGAAAAGTGTTGTTTTTTTTGTTTTTTTTTATCAAGTCTCCTTTCCCCCTCTACTCCCTCTCCCCCTCCCCATACACACTGACAAAGGGTTGCTCTCTGTATTACAGGGATTAAATCATGTCTCAATAACAAGTCCTGTGTAAAGTTGGGCTGCTCCAGGAGCAGACATAGAGGCACAGTTCCCAGCTGTTATCTGATGCCACGGTTGGATAATGAAGACTTAATTTTGTGCCAGATGTAGGGTTGGTACAAATTACTTCTCCAGCACAGCTGTTCCCACTGCTGACCACATAGAAAGGAAGGAAAGTAGTAGTCGTAAAGAGGCTGATTTCCTTTATTGTACCCTCAGTGCTGCACCCTACAATATGGGGCACAAGAGAATGAACACCTTGTGTCTCTTTACCTCCATGAATGGGAGAGTTGGGCTAAGTATGGCCCAATGATCTTAGATGACTACTTAATGTTTCTCTACACGTCTTCTCATAGTGGTCATATGAGGACGTGAACTGCAGGAACGTGGCTCTAACATAATGTAATATACTAAGATGTTGTCTTTGAAAATTTATTCTAGTCTTAATTGTGCCACCAGTTGCCTAGTTTACATTTGTGGTGACAGAAGTTTTTGAGCTATACAGATGACCTTGAAAGGGGCTCTCTGTAAGAGTGAAAGCTTATCTCTCTCACTAACAGAAATTACTCCAGTAGAAGACCCAACTTGCCTGTATAACATCCTGGGAACTTAGTGGCTACCACACTAGTTAGCAACAAGATGTTTTCCTTAAGACTTCCCACCATTGCAACATGGTGTATTTTTCTAGCTTCTGGTGGCAATGATGGGAGAGCTAAGGTAGAATGGTTCTACTAATGGCCAATGGTGGAAAGTTTTAGGGGAAAATGGTTCAGTGTAGATACCTACAGCACATAACTTTGTTAAAGTCTCAGATTGTATTAAATAATGTGACTACCTGACCTCCAGAATGTGGCACAGGCAGTGAATGACTCCTTCAAGTAGGTTGTCCCACACTTTTTCGTTAAGATTCATTTTTCGGTTGCTTGTAACTTTGCCTGACTACAACCATTCAGGCAGAAACTTTCCATCTTGGGTGCCTGCCATAGGCTAAATTTTATTTTATTATATAATAAAATTTAGCCTATCAGCAACAATTTAACCTTTTTTTTTTCAGAAAGACTAGGAAAAATTTGTTTTCTTCATGTAATTAAAATGTTTACAACTGTTTCATTAAGAGAGCTTGAGCATCTCTGTTGCTTTGCAGCAATGACTTTGAAATTTGGCTGGGTTGAAGTTGTCCTGTGAAAATCTGCCCAAATTTGATTAAGGTATCCACCAGGAACAGTATTAACCAGCTTGCACTCTGCTTCCCATGGCTGGCTGTGGAAACGGACCATAGGAAGGTCTGCCTCAACCATTTGACAGACAGCAACTGTGCTCACTTCAGCCAATCCCTGACAGACCTGGAAATGGGGCCTGCTCAGCCTCTTACCCACCCTCCTTAGCACGGAGCTCATGGACAGCAGCAAACTCCCATAGCTGCAGAGGGAGTAAATTTGGAAGCCAATCTGACAGTTTCCACCTGCTTTTCCCTGGCTGATGTTGCTCTAGAGCACGGGTGGGGAACCTCAGGCACAGGGGCTGGAAGCAGCCTCCGGCTTGCAAGGATCCAGCTCCGGCCTCCCCTCTCCTCCTAGCATTCAGGAGCCCACGCCTCCTGACGGACTGGAGCCACAAAATCTACTTGCCTGGGCCCCACTAGGCTCTGGTGTGTGAGGGGACTGTAGGGAGTGTCTTTCTCCTTCCCAGTCAGGGGCCATGTCAGTGAGGGGTTGGTGTGGTTTTTATTTTTGTTGGCTTCTCACTTGTGTGTGTGGCCCCTGACTGATTTTTCTGTGGGTCGGTGGCCCCTGACCCAAAAAGCTTCCTCACCCTGCTCTAGAGCAGTAGTTCTCAAACTAGTGGTTCATGGCTACCTTCCAGGTGGTCTGTGGCTTGACCTCAACCCCCTCATTCACCCTGCAGTGGGGAGCCCTTGCTGGCAGTCCAGCCTTGCCCTCCCTCCCTCATGAGGTTGGAGCGCCAGCACCAGGTTCCTGCTGTTGGGGAGAGAGGGTGGAGAGAGCCCGGAGGTTTGCTGTGTGATGTGGCTTGCAGGGAAGAAGCACTCCTCCCTCAACTGAGGGAACAGCAGTGTACAGACACATGAAGACAAGTGAGTGTCCCCCTCATGCCTGGACCCCTGCATTCCCAGCCCTCTGACATACCGCCCCGTGCCAAGACTGCTCCTGCACCCTCCCCTGTAAGCAGACACATACCCCCTGCCTGCACCCACCCACCCCCAGCCAGAAACCCTACTCCTGCACTCACCCTCCTGGACATACACTGTATCTTCCCTTGCTTTTGCTCCCCTCTCTGGCCAGATAGGGTGCAGGAGCAGGCTATCTCCTATCCAGACCTCACACCTACACCCCTTCTCCTGCCCACGTCCTGCACTCCATCCCTCTGTCAGCCCTGTTGGGGTCCCACACGGACACTCTTGTGCAAAAGCACATGGCAATGTGGACGTGCTCGTGCACAAGCCCCTTTGCGCAAGAACTCTTGTGCAAAATGGTTCTTGTGCAAGAAGCCTGCAGTGTAGATGTAGCCTGGTGTCCTATATTTGGCATGGGGAATGTGGTCACCCTAACCATACGGAACAATTTTCCTTTGGAAAGAACAAATTATGAAGCTTCTAGTTTAGGCCTAGTTAGAGCAGGCCCACAGGTGAGGCGCAGATGGTTTTTTATTCCTGGGGGAATTCTGTGCTACTGTGTAAGTGCAGAGTTCATATGCTATGATTTTTTTTTCTTAGCAGAAAATCCATTCTGACCAGAAGTGCTGCAGTTATACCACACCTCAGGGACCACTATGGTGCCAAAACAGAAAGCAGCTGCTCCTGATTGGGAACAGCCTCAGCCGCAGACAGAGAAAAGGCTCTGTTCTTCACATCACCCTGCCTGTGGGGCCAGGTCAGGAAGTACAAGATATACAGGGATGGACACCATGGGGCCTATGAGGCTGTTGAGAAGGGAGTAAATAACTGGGTTCAGAAGAACTAGTGGTGGGGGACAGACTAGGGTGTGGGCTGAGTGGAAGTGCAGGAGATAGGGGGAGCTGAGTGGGTGTGCAGAAAGCAGGGACACATGGGGATAAGAGCAGATATGTCTGACTGAATGAGAGAAGGTAGGAATCATCCAGGGTCTGTATGGGAAAGGCTCCTTATCAATACCGTATATTGATATATACCCCCAAAACACCCTGTTCCGTACTTCTACCTACGCCCAACCACTCTCTAAGTTCATACCCAGGGTTCTTCACAGAAATTACTTCTGCCACCTCCATCTCTTCTGTTAGACTTTGTCTACACTGCCAGTTTTTTTGGCAGAAAATATGCTAATATGGGACTCATTAGCAATCTCATTAGCATATTTTCTGCCGTTTCTTTTTGCGCAAGGGGTTTTTGTGCAAAAAGAAGCAGTGTGGACGTTTCCTTTTTGCGCAAAACCCCTGTTTTGCACAAGATCCTTATGCCTGTCCTGAAGAGGCATAAGGGTCTTGTGCAAAATGGGGTTTTGTGCAAAAAAAAAAAAAAGTCCACACTGCTTCTTTTTGCACAAAAACCCCTTGCACAAAAAGAAATGGCAGAAAATATGCTAATGAGATCACAACTTATGCCAATGAGTCTCGCAATAGCATATTTTCTGTGGGAAACTGACAGTGTAGACGAAGCCTTACTTTTGTCTCCCCCGAGCCTTTGCACTGCTTCTGAGGGGCGTCAGAAATATACATCTGTATTTTAATTTAAATGAATTATTATTCATTTAAGTTCTGTAGTAATATGCCTACTAAGGGATCTGTTTGTCAAACAAAAAAAAATCCTGCATTTTTTTCTGTATTGTTTACAGACATACTAGCTGACAACAATTTTGAAATAAATTACCAAAATAATTGAAACTGGCATGATTATATTGTGTTATTTTGACACATGAAATATGCAGATTTTAAAATATTGTTTGCAGACTTTTTAATGTGTTTGGCACAGGATTTCCCCAGGAACAAGCTTTACAGATTCCTCTTTTTGGTGCCAACCTGGGAACCAGTTCAGTCCCTGGCACAATTTAGAGCCTTATGAGCATGCTAAATTGCACCCAGTTGTCAATAGTCCCAAGGGTCCTTTCCACTATGTAAGGATCACCTAGAAGTGTACTGTACTTTGATCCTCTTACTTTCCTCTGGAAATGCCTCATGTACTGGGAGACAGGAGGTGGGTGGTATAGGGTTCCTATGTTGGCTGTGAACTACCCAGGAATCACTTTGTCTTGAGGGACTGTCCCAGTAATCAATTAATCCATCACTGCAGCCCTCCTTCACTGCTGAAGTGGCATAAATTCCTATGTTTTTAATCTCTTGCCCCAGAAATTAATGTTGTGTCCAAAAGGTGCTGATGATGGACTTTCACATCCATTTTTTGTCTATTTTTATAAATATAGTCCATAGGCTTGGTTGAGATAATTCTGATTTAAACAGTTTTAAATTCAAGAAGGCTACATCTACATTGGCAAGATTTTGCGCAAATACTTTTAACGCAAGAGTTTTTGCATTAAAGTATTTGCACAAGAGAGCGCCTACACTGGCATGTGCTTTTGTGCAAGAGATGTGCTTTGGCACAAAAGCATCCATGCCAGTGTAGACACTCTCTTGCACAAGAAAGCTCCGAAGGCCATTTTAGCCATAGGGCTTTCCTTGTGCAAGAAATTCATGTTGTCTGTCTACACTGGCCTCTTGCACAAGAACAGTTGTGCAAAAGGGCTTATTCCTGAGCGGGAGCATCATAGTTCTTGCTCAAGAAGCCCTGATTTCACACATTAGC